GGAGAGTCTCCAGACTGATTAGCGAGTGAAACCTTGAAAGCTCGCGAGATCAGGATGGTTTCACGAGGCTACCAAGTAACACCCTTCTCTATTTTAGGCTCCGCCTCTAAGCCTGGATGCTGCTTCCTGAGTCTTGGTCCAATCAGTGACCACGGCACGCTATTTAAGTGATTCCACCTTAAAAATATTCCTTAATGTTTTTCTGTCACACAAATACAAACAAATGTATTTCCAATTTATAGTTTGGGAGCTGAACTTGTTTAATTCACATGTAATTTCAGGCAATTTGCTCCTAAGACCGTCTGGGCTTTAAGAGGTTAAAGAGCTGAAAGCAAAGAGGATTTGATTGTTCAGGCGAAGACTTGATGTAGCAGATGGTTTAAATAAACATGGTGACCAGCGCCATCTTTAAGAATCACTTTTAAAATCCGGGTCTCACTTCTCTTCCTGTCCAAATGGAGGTTTCATCATTTTCCAGCAGACTGAGAGTTCAGTGGTTAAAATCTGTGATATATGAACATACCTGTTCATTCAGAGTGTTGTAGCCACACAGGGTGTTAGGGACTTCTCCCACCTGTGAAAAGACAGACAAAGCAGCAGTCAGACACGAGGATCGGAAACGAGCCGAGACAAATGGGGCGTTCGAATCTCTTCAAAACTTCAGAAGATTTAATATCAAATCTAGGTCAGCGAGCTGCGAGCGGGTCATCACTCAGTCCTTAATGGATTCAGCAGAGAGAAAAAAAAAAATCTGCATTTTTCCAGAAATGATTCCTACCAGAAGCGGTAGATTTGGGTTTGAAGTTATTCTTACTCACCTAAAAACAATCAAACTGTTTATCTTTACCTTTGAATACAAATCAGAGGAAAATCTTTTAACCCTTTATAAGGCAAGTTGCCATTTTTTATTGACATTTTTCAGGACATATTCTACAATCGGTGAGAGAAATGAGAGCAGAAAGGCTGTTTGAAAACGAAATGCGCACAATATAAGCAGCAATCATTAGGTTTTGTTTNCGCACAATATAAGCAGCAATCATTAGGTTTTGTTTATCTGCGTTAAAATATGCAGCCTGGCAGTTTATCTAATGGTTACAGTAACTAATGTAGAAGCATATATATTGAGGCCAATACTTTAATTTAAAATAGTGCAATTTAACACTATTTTCAAATCGCAGAGGTGCTGGTTTTTGGACATATTACATTTAAGTACGGTAAACTCAATTAAGTAGCCAAATTATGCAAGTAGCTAAATGTCTTATTCCCCCCATTTAGGGGGTGGTAACATGTTTAAAGTACGGTTGCAATCATGCAGAAGAGAAGAGAAAGATGCAGCTAGCTCACAGATTCAAGTAGAAGTTTGCACTTTTTCACTCAAAGGTTTCAGTAAAGTCCTGCAAATCTGGACTTAGGACATTCAAGCTTCCGAGATTATGAAAAGGTGTAAAACCCTAATAAGACATTTACATGAGTGTAGTTAGTGCAAGGGAAAATCTCATAAAATCACAATTGTAATATTGGTTTAAAATGCTTGAGGATATTCTCAGTCGTCCAGGTCAGTCCTTCCAGAAAGGTTAAAATCAATCCACTGGACTTTGTTTCCAAGTTTGAAGACGTTTCTCTTCCATCCAGGAAGATTTTT